GTTAAGCCGACTTGTTTAACAATCGATCGTATCAATGTTGTTATCTCATAGGTATTCCTTACCATGTGCATGGCTTCTACATAGAGAGCATAGTTTTCAAACATTTTTGCTTTCATTCAGTTGGCATCTCTCAATGGTACAGTTGTAATACCTATATCTACTAAATTTAAGGGCATAGATATACACCATTTTACGTCGTTTCAACGTCTTTATCTAGGCTCGGTTTGCTCGGCACCGGTTTTAACGACTAATACTGAAAACTTAGCTGTGTGTAACGTAATTGAATCGTAAAACCATTAAAGTTTTTGTCACTTCAGGCGACGAGGTACTAAAATTCAATGTGTCAAAATACGACCTCGTCGATAATAATGAAGTTAGATACTGTGGATAAATAACCACTAAGCCGCAAAAGATGGGTACATTTTAGCCTAGAATCGTCTCAATGTCAGAACTTCAACAAAGTAACTCATTCACTGGCTGTTGTTTCGAAATGGGGAGCAGCCCCTTCTATTAGCGTTATTATTGGTTAGATGGGCAAGCAAGCTGGTTTATGATCACGTCCTATCCTTCTACGGACGGTCTTTGCTCTCAAGTTCTTCCGCTAATAATAAGTGCTCAGATATCTACTTAGGCTCAGTTCCAGGGGACGTTAAGGAGCAAGCGGTACAACAGTAGGCGTTACCTTTTCGAATTGTTTTTAGTATCGATCCTGCTTCTATAAAGTTTAGGGTCAGGTTACGTACAACGTACCTTAAAATCTTTACCTAAAATGCTTACCAATGAAGCAACTTATCCTTAAAATCTTTTTCTACGGGATGCATTTTTTTTAGAAAGATGTAATTTTACTTTCACATTGGGCTGTTTTAGTAATTAAGTGCCTTTCTCGTAACCTACTGAGATGTTTGTCTTTTTTTGAGTTGTCCTTCAGGCTCTGAACAGATGTATCGAATGGATCATTATCAGGGCCTAAGTCAGGATCAAAAGAATGTTCCACTCATGATGGTTCAGTACGGTCCATGTCACCATAACCACATGACATCTATAAAACTATCATGCAATAAAGTTACCACTCGGCGTTGTTTGTCCGCCTATATTCATTTTTGTCGGTACGTCGTTCGTTTAGAATCCAGCCGCAGTCTACATGATTCATTTCATTAAGTTGTTAGGGATTTCACGAGAGCAGTCCCGTCAGATTCCGCAAGCGCCTCTGAGTGGTTGGTATGGAAGATTGCGCAGAATTTACATCTAGCGATCCTGGCTAAAATGCATCCAGTATAGCAAACTCAGTACAATCCAGAAAAAATAAAGGCAAGGCAATTTCTAAACTAAACCTGCAAATTAAATATGCAAACCTGAAATAGTTTGTCAAAGATATGACAAATTCCGAACTATTCTTTGAATATCTATAAGCCATTTAGCCAGTAAGCTATTAACTGGATAGTTTTTTCGCATAAAGGTAACTGTTAACTTACCTATCCTCACCATTCAGCTGCAAGGCTATTTGCTTCGAACTGTAGATGCTTCCCTTTTTACATCAACCTCAACTAGGTTAGGTTTCAGATAGATCTGTGAAAAGTGTATCTGTTCGTGGCATGTACAGTTATAATCATTTCTTCTAACAACGAAACTTGCGATGTCGGAAACCCAGCCATTTCTGGTTCATTTAAAAGCTTTGTCTTCAACTCTTCTTGTAGATCTTGCGGCCTTATGCAAGGATATCGATGCCTGTCGATCTGCATTTTCACAGAATGAAAATGAGTACCGACAATATAAGAGTGCTATCCGAAGAGGCAAATTATTGATGGAGGAACGTCGCGGCCGTGTTGAAAAATCCAGGCAAATCAGAGATGCAATTGTGGAATTACGCAGATTTGGATTCTCTAACAACGCCTTCCAGGATCATGCAAACATTTACTATGATCGGAAGACAGCAGGGCACATTTGTGCTTCCCTTGTAGAAAACAAACAGTGTACATCGAAAAGCAAGCACAACTCGACGTAACATTCTTCTTAATGCTTGTATACAGGATTCAGGAGTGAAACCCATTGTAAAGAGGCGCAATTCATACAGAAAACTAAAGTTCCCACCATTATAAGGTCAAAATTATTTCTTCAGGACAGTCTGAATCTGGAATAATGAACCATACCACACGTGTGCGACTTTTGAAAGGACGCTCTTTGTAGTGTATTGATCGTATCTTCTCGTTACGAGGAGTTATTTTGGCTTGTAGCTAGTAAATAGTGTCTCATCCGAACTGAAGACGAACGAAAGACGCATTAGGTAGACTCGATAAATGAAAAATGATTAAGTATATTTGTTATGCTCTTTCTTTAAGTGTAAGTGTACACACACTGCAATAGATGCTAATGGCGTCACGAATTACGAATGGGTATCACTAATTCTTTTAGAATAAACATTTATCAGCGGCAGCGCCGCTATAGACAGTGGTTTTTAAAGGTGAAGAAACTTTACTGTTCCTCTAAACTATGTAACTAACAGATATTGGTGTTTTTGTGTATATGAGTAACATACTGCTTGGAAGATAGAAGAGTAATATATTTAAACAACAGCTTCAACTGATTTTACGCAATCTGTTTTCTCTTGGGCGTCTACTGTACCTGTCAGATGTATTAGGTAAACCATTCCTTTCTGCCCGTCATGAGATATTAAATACGTAGATTTCTTATTGGACAAATACAATGCTCTGTTCCCTAACCACGGGACAGGTCCACAGCGCAGGTAATCGAGCGTCTGTTAAAGCAAAACGGAATGGGGGCACCCTTAACTATGTTAAGCAACTGCAACCGACATTGGAGTTTGTTACTACGTGCGTAAACAAACAAGTATAGGCGGTGCATATATGCAACACTGTAGTATTTCGGGATTATTTAAAAGTTTCTGCATACGGGATGAAAGTTCATTTTAAGCGAAACTCGACAATAATCGTATCTCATCCGATTTTGACGATGATATTTAACAGAGAATTTTATGCCTAAAAGTTTCTATACGGCCTCCAACGAGTATAGAAGTGAAAGACCTTTTCAACACATTTTCGTTTGTAGAGCGGACTCGATTCGTCCTCATGGCCCCATGCCATCCTGGAAACGCATCGATACACACGATTGTAAGACGGGCATTGTTACTCGAGTTAGGCATACGTCGATTACCCCGGTAGGCCGCGGTTGTCACCTTACAGCAGCAGCAGGAATCTGTCAAACTTAAGAGGTCGAGTCGAAGAATTTCTTGAGCTCACCGGTCGAGCGTTATCTCTGACCAACTGTGCACATTCGAGGATAATAGAAAAAAAAAAGTGTCTGATAGCCAAGTAGGTACAGAAAGAAACGAACGTACATAGCGCGTGTGCTAGCGTATACAAACGAAGCAATGTAGATTTTAGATGGGCTTTTACGACAACAGATGTAAAATGGCCAACGTTAGTTTAAGCTAATCAGTTAAAAAGGCACAACCAGACTTGTATTATGTAGCGGAAAAGTGCTTGTTTCTAATCAGCAACTAGCCTACGAGTGTTGTGGCAACCTACAAAATTAAAGAGCAGAGACTTAACAAGCGCGAGTTGTCTAAAATTGGAAAGCTTGGATATATACAGTGTTTCTCGTCATAGTATAGCAACATAGTATAATTCCTGGGTTCACCACTATGTTGCTCTTAACGAATTTTCAGTACTGAGAGAAATCGTGACGGACGCGAGTATAGACCTCAGTGGTGGGCAGTGACCTGCTTAGACGGAGACTTACTCAACAGTAGAACGAGTGGATTGTTTCCAATGGATAAGATCCAATTCAGAACATTGGCCATTATGCAAACTGCGCATTTCGAAGCCTTAATGCGGTCAAGGTCAAGATGGATCATAGAATATAACCCGCTAGCAATTGTCGACTCAGATGAAGGGTTGAAGCGAGGCTGAGAGACCGGACGATTTTTTGGAAGGTGGTAACTAATTTGGGGCGGGCCACCACTCCGACCTCACGGGTAACGAGGTCGGCTCTGTTAGACAGTCCTAGTTCATGAACTTATCCCTGTGGGCCTAATAGCCATCGAACTTGTGCAATGCGATCGCTGAAAAACTTATATCACTCTGATGATTTTTCGGTTGTACGTCATTAGTACGCCGCTGTCAAGTCGGTATGATGAAAAACTCGATTTATGTGAATCGACAACGACTCGATGAGATATGCTTGAGGTTAAACCGCTGTGTTCCAACTGCGGCAGCGACAATTCACTACGAGGCGCTAGGCCTGATTTCACCACAACGAAAGCTTCTACCATCTTCATGATGGTATGTGGGTACACGACTGCGACCTAGGCTGGTTCGGATCATTTGCTACAGGCGGTACGTGAAGGTTTATTCAATACTGAAATCGCATTAAGGGACGTCTATCTCATTCAAGATGCAAAATTAAGCATCCTGCAGGGACGCAAGTACTGCTTGGTTCCACTGAGGAGAATGACGCCAAAGTTTTTGAATGACAAGCTGTTCCAAATGGCGAGTGGTAGGAACCGGACTGTTGGGACAAAAACATAAGCCAGAATACGAGGTACTATCAGTTAGTGACGCGAAATCATCGATTGCTTAGATGAGCTTGAAAGTTTGAAAACAAAAGATTTTCATTGAGGGTCTGAGTCCAACAAAATCAATTGGGTACCTCAGCGCCTCCTGTTCTGCTGATATGCTTGATGATAGTCATAGGATGAACGGCCATTCGGTTAGTTTAACATTAGAAGAACCTATCAAGAAATATATATGCTAACAAGGTGCATTTTAATAGAGGTTGTATTATTTAACAAAAATTGTTAGTCCATGGGTGTTTAGCTAGTTGCTCTATGCCTAATATTAACAGAGAAGGTGATTTACACTAGTTTTTTTTCCGCAATAACATGCATTGCATTCTTTGTATGGCCTTGGGCCCTCCGATTCGAAGCTTCATAGCAGCTCATAATGATATTATTCACTGCGTCATAAAATTGCAGCTGAATCTACCCGTTTGAAGATTTGGCAACGTTGCTGCAGGTCCCATGAGGATTGCTCCGCATATATCCTTCTTCAGCTGGTAATAGTGAACATGTTGGATGGTCCCTACCAAGGTGTGCGAAATAGTGGATGATCCTTTGCAGCTGTGTTGGTTATTACGTAGGCTCAAATGAGTTTGCGATAACTATAACGCGATGCAAGCGAAAGTTGACTAGAAGATCGATCGGATTAGGGGTTAGGTTTAGGTGCGGCAGAAGGTGCGAGTTTAAAAATGTTTCTCCAAGAGAAGCTGCAAAACAATCAAATACGCTTTCCACTTTTCTGTGTTGTCCGAAATTGAAATGACTTGATTGTGAGGCATGTGGTGAGAGTTATCACGAGACCCACGTTATAAGGGATCCAGAACGCAGAGCTTATCGTCATGAGTCTGTCTAAATTTTGACATAGACGATAAGATGGGTGCGCGAAGAGCTGATCTTGAGCGTGAGATGATCGTGAGCACTTTGCATACTGATGGCAAGCGTTGAGATGATAGACCGGTGTAGTATTGAGACCTTTGTGGCCTTACAATTAGATACGAGATCTTCGTTGAACTGTTTAATTGCTTGCTAGTCTTCAGAAGAAGAATCGGGTGTTTTTTCTAATACCGATAGCGATTGTTGTCTATGAACGTTTTTTTTTTATACGCTGGATACTCACAAAGCAAAAGTTCTATGACGGCTGAGTGATTTACTGATGATCGAGAGCAAATTGGCTGACATACGCCGTTAGGCGTACATTTAGGCAGGTAAACAATAATCTCCTGTAACATCTTCCCCCTTTATTGTATTACACTATTATTGGTAAACGTTACAGAACATGGAAACCACGTAACTATTATTTACAATGATTAATAGAATTAAAATTTAAGAAAAACATAAGAACCACTTTTGTGTTTGCGATGCAGCTGGCAACGTTGTAGCATGTAACTGGCGCTACTAGTCGGCTTTACAAGTTAAAGCTGTTCTATTGATTTACGTAAAAACCCTGTCCTGTCATTGATGATGAATTCCCAGTAATTACTGTATTCATCGTTGGGTATTCTTATTATTATTGGCTATTTTTTTGCAGTTTTTTTTTGTTTATATATACACTTGATATTCATATTGTTCTGTTTTTTTTTATAGATAAAAAGTGAACTCGCATTTGTATTGCGTTATTCTCTCACTTCAGGCAGTTTCTTCTGTGCTGATGCGGCTGGTTGAACGTGGAGCACATGCGCATTCCTCTTCCAGCGGCCTGCTCTCCTATTTTGTTTGGATTGAGCCGCAGTCCTGCGTTTGCTACAGACCTTCCGGGCTACGCGCAGTAATTCAGACCCCAATCTGGGTTTGAGTGCAAGCCGTAGAGACAAGGCCTTTCGATGGATTTAGGATGCTGCAGCTATTCTGTGCGGTCACCGCCATAAGTGTCTAAAGACTGCCTATTTCCAAAAATTTCTATGCACTAAACTGCTCATTAATTTAAAGATTTTCTTGAAAACTACCAGTATGTAGTTTTGCCTCCATCTTTTAACTATAGGATTAAGTACTTTTACTACTACCTTTACGACTACTAGTGCTGCTCCACGTAATGCTGTTTTATAGATTCTTGTTTGAGGTTTGATTGACCTTTTACTACTTCTTACCTAATGTCCTATCTAATGAGTAATGTTTTACAGAAATCTCAAGAAAATGTCTTACCTTAAATGAAGAAAAGCCAACATTTGTTGCTTTAGGTGGCCGTGGGTTACGAGAAGAGCCCACTCGTAACTGTGACCTTTGTGTTGTGTGAAGAGGGCTAGGCTCCTGTTGCCATTTGTTACAGCGATGTAGTCTTCGGTGAGCGTATGGTTACAACCATTCAGGATCAAATATCTACTACACCGTTGGCTTGAGCGATTCTCTCGATCCTTCAGTGACTCGCGGTTCTTGAAGTGGTCCTTGCTGTGGGCACAAAGATTACGAATTATTTATTTTGTCAATTTCGTTGAACGGAGTAGGGGTCTCAAAGAAACGTCGTTCCCGATTTCTTAGAAAGATTCTCAAAGAAATCGGGATTCCGGTTTTGTCTCACACATTCTAGTTGCCAATTCCCTCCTGTAAAATATCATTCCCTTAAGGTGTCAACTCAACAAGATCGATACTTCCAGGAACGTATTTCACCGTTATATAGTATTTTTTACTTCAAGGTGTATTCGTTGAGCAAGAATCTGAGGTTTTTGAAAATATGCTTTTCAGTGGCCTGTGGCCAATGGACCGTTGTACTATTCCTTGCGATCAAGCTTTTCACAAATAACGACTATTGCTAGAACCTCTGTCAGTTTTGGTAGGTAGTGCATGAAAGTTATAATAGCAAGCGATTAACACACTTCAGGAAACATAATACCTTTGCCGTTTTTTCGTGGTCGCATTCCGCTGTGTCTTCTTTCTGGATCCATTTTTACTTCTCAGATAACCCACAAACTTGGCCTCAGCCATTTTTGGTGTTGTTGGAACGTAATTCAACTGTAAGTGCTGGCATGAAGCTCCCGATGATTGTCTTTAGCATCCTGAAGTCCTGGCATTGTGGACTTCGTAACGTTTGGACAAACTCATCGCTAGCATTTACTGCCACGAATAGTTCTGTTTTGCTGAGACAATAGCGTAGCGTAACCTGTGTAGAGCTTTCCTTGGTGACTAGTCCAGAATACAGCAACGAGATTTGATCTACAGTTCGTAGAATGGTTCACTTTTTAAATGATTCCCAACCTTTCCAAGTTTTCCATTCTATCCACAACAGCTTCCGCAAAAGTAACGAGTAAGTTCCGTCATAACCGGGAAATTTAGAACGGTTGTGGTAGTGGATCCAAACCTAAACAAAAGAGTTTCCAAGCGGTTCTTGTCTTACTGAATCACTATGTTTACACTTAACCCCTCCGAAAGTACGCGTGACACCAGTGTTGTTCATTGAATGTACAGAACTGTGGTAAGGTTAACGCTGCAACGAGATAAAGGGTGTGAGAAGAAATCTCCCGAAAAATGTATTCTGTAATTCATGTTTTTAGTTTGCGTTCGTTGCGTTCATAACATTGTCACTATACAGTGAGTAGTGACTGGATTTATTTTTTTTATTTTCTAGGTTTTACTAGATAAGTTCCCATTTCAATGATAACTCACGACACCACTGCTTACCGTATTCAGGACGTAAGCGCCAATACGTAATCAGTCAGAACTTCTCCATAGGAGAATAGCGCCCTATGTGTGATCCAGTTGTTATCATAGTCCCTGAAGCTCACTAAGCCCGCTGAATAGGTTATCTAATACTTGTCAATTTTCGAGATTAATTTGTCCATAGCTTACGTTTTCTTTATTACGAGCCATCTTAAGATAACTTACATTGGTAACTTGTAGCCTGCTAATAAGGTCTTCTATCTACCCAATAAGGACCTTTGTAGTGCTAGAGGTCGACCGGCGTTCGTAGCAATTGACGGTCAATCCGACCGTCAAATTGGGATTTAACAAACGATATTCTAATATCGCTGCTACGTTAGGCACAGTTGGAGGCGCTAACTACATGGCACGTTGCTGTTTTCCCTATAGACTATTAAATTGAGGAGCAAAGGCGCTAGAATCATTTCTGCCTAAAGCAGTAAACTAATTCTCCAGCATACACCAAAGGTGATTCCATGCATCAGGTTATCATTAGTCTAAATTCAGTGTCTTCAAGAAAATCGGCTTGTTAGTCCTCTTCATAAACATTATTGTAAACGAGGCTCCATTTTCACAATTTTTTACTAGTAAATCGCATTGTTTCGCGTAGTTGGATACGTTAGCTGATAATTGTGGTCAGGCACCAATTTTAGTTATCGGCGAGAACGTTCGGGCCACAGAAGCACACTGGCCCGATCTTTGGCGCGATCATCTAGCGGTTGATTACTAGCTATTCCTCCGGATCACGTGACTAATAGTTGTTGATACGAGAAGAAACAAACTACATATGAAAACAGCGTTTTTACTGGAAGATCTGATTTTCGTCTGCTAGCAGGAATAACGCATAGACGCATGCCCGTTATCATGGCAAAGTCTATCCTAATTTAGATGCCGTAACCGGTACCTAAGAACGTATTATATAAATTGTTGAATCACTCACTCTTAGTTTCACCGTTTTCAAGGTTTTCTGTATAAACTAGATAACGCTAGTACCATTAGTGAACGTAGAAAAACAGTGCGTTGTACTCGTAGGTGTAAGAAACTCAAATAATTACCTATGTATTAGACTAACGTAAACAGTGAGTCGAATTTTAAATCCTATCTCTCCGATTAGGCGTGCTTGTCTGTTAGGCTACCACGCCATACTCTATTCACTCAGGTATATTGTAAGGCTCGGGCTGTCTGTTGTTTAAAACAGGTTCCACAGGAAAACTGGAAGAATTTTAAATATATTGAAGTTACTTAGTACCACTTTACTTAATTTTTTTTTTTCAAAAACAGCTGTTACAGCCAAGTTGGGTGTAACAAATTACCACTAGAAATTCGAAGGATGTCTGGCAGCCCAATGAAAAAAGGAGGCGCGGGCCTTTATTAAGCAAATGAAGACCTTAGGTATAAGTTTAAACCAGGCGATGCGAATCCTTAACAATGACACATCCACTTTCTTCTCTATTATTGTCACAACGCCAGATTATTGTCCACTGATGATCTGCTCAAACTTCGAAATTTTACTTAATGTACTTAATCAAATGCATAAGTTTGTCAAATTTTCAATTTTTCCCGTCTTTCGTTGCAGAGTGTATCTAATAACATCAATATAAATTCATAAATATGATACACCAAGCCAAATAAAAAGTTCATATTCAAACACTAGTCACATTATGCTTCAGTTAAAAATTACCTCACATTATAAACAGCGAAATAGTGCCAGGTTTTATGTGATTAAATATCTTTTACTTCATTGTGAAATAGTAAACTCTGAAGGTAGCATTCTTTCAGAAGGGTATTTATTTTTGAAATCAAACTGTCGACTTTTATCTTTTAGAGACGATCAGTCTTAACACCCCGATATATTCGCCACAGTCTAATGCTGAGACGAAAAAACGTTCAATGAACGTGGATGTCGTAACTGGTGTCATGACCCTCGTGCATTTTCGGTAAATTAAAAAACATGTTTGGCGGAGCTAAGATCGTGGTCGTAATTGGTTAGGTGAGGGTGTGGCATGTCTGCTTTCTAATTAAATCCCCCCCTTGCGCTCCCCCCCCCCACCTGAACCCCAAAAACCTTTCCCGTTAAACGCCCATCTAGGTTTACACTCGTATCCTGCGAAATAGCGGCACACATTACTGCCACTAATGACCTTAGCAAGCTCCAAGCAACTGCTGCTTTTACTCCAGGGGAGCTAAGCTGTGAATATAATGCGAATGAGCGAAGTTACATCTGCTTCCCGAAATGGTTACTGCGTCAGGACTGCAAGATCAAGTGAAAACAACCTTTTCTCAAAAGACAATAAAACTACCGACGTTCACGAATCGTAGAAAGCTCCCCTCGTACATATAATAATAATAATAAAAATACGAAATTACTTCGAAGCCGCCATCACCGTCGAGGTGTTCTGTCTCACCCATCACAATCATCTAGCATCGTTTTCTACTTTTTTAGTTACGAAAATATATTTAGTTAGTAAAAACAAATAGGCCAATGTATCGAGAACATAAATGCTGTTCGTTTTGTGTACGGCACTGGGAAATTGTCACCGAAAATAATATACAACACATCATTCGAGTAGCCTTCCTAGCAAAACCGATTTTCTATTGAAATAGACAATGCTTAATGTAGAATTCTGCGCGTGTAGCATTAATTGGAACTGATTAAGTCTGCCGTAGTTGAGTTGTGTGAGTCAGATGATCTTATAATGGAGAAAATACTAAATTAAAGTGAAAATTTCTTCGAGACAAGAGCTGATGGACCACTAGGAATGGCAAAATGCGGCAAAGTGGGTAATAAGCTGTTCTGGAAGATGAGTATAAAGCCTAATAAATTTATAATTACTCGGATTCTTGCGTATTGCATTTATTTTTCAGCTAGTGTTTGACGTGTGGAAGTCTGCTTGTTCCCTTTCCCACTGCCCTCTCTTCAATTCACTCAGCTATATTTCTGCGTGTATATAGCGCATATAAGAATCTACAGTCACGACGCGATACCTAAATGTAATAACCACTAGTGTGCAAATACCTTGTAAAAGGGTAAAGGGTCCCTCCTTTGACATATTATGGAAGCTTAACAAATGAGCCTGATCCAAATACGTGTGTAACGTAACAAAGCTAGCCTCTTCAAAAGAAACTGACAATGGTAACGAATTGAAGATGCCCTTTTTAATGGGTTACACTGCTTTTTAGATACCTTATGTATACACGCAATTTGTAAATATCTTTATCGGCGAAATTTTTATTATTCCCAGTCTAGCGTAGAACTTTGGCGAGATCTGCTTATACGAGCAGTGTACTTATGAAAGTTTTATTGAGTCGAAGTAGTGCTATGTAAGAAAATGTTTTTTCTATTGGGTTACTCCTTTGTTGTATTCTACGAAAGTGGTATTTCGATGCTGTACAAAGCGACTGTAATCTGCAACGATAAATTGCGAAGGGCAAAGGCTTCCGGAGATTTAGTCGATTCTTTGCTTCAGGCGAAGCGTTAAATTTTGGAAAAGAACAGACTGCACCGTGGTCTTTGTTCGACTTTTTGGGGCTAGACGTTCTTTTTCAATCTTCCTTTTTACTAACTTTAACTTATTTCAAATCAGAGATGATTTTATTGATGTACAATGAATACTCTAAAGGATACATACACGTGTAGTGTACCGTGGTAGACTAATAATAATTCCTACAGTTACCCTATTTATTGAAAAGTGAATGAAAATTTAGCCACGAAGCTCAAGGGTGAAAAATGCTAGATTTCACGTATAAAGGATTGCCTTTGTCGGTTGTGTTAAACGGTCCACTATGGCTGTTTCCATCCTAAATCAACTTTGTGGGTTTGGCTATATTTTACTCTGTCTTTCAGTAACGTTCTTCGCATTAATTAGGATGCGAGCTTTGTAGACATTTTGTCAGTTTTCAAGAAATAAAAGTCACCTATTATGATACAGTTAAAACAGCAACTTGCTATTTTGTATAGATTAGTTTTCTTATTTTAATGGTCGTAAATAGCACCGATAAATCTCCCAGGAAACTTAAGTAATGCTTGTAGAGTTATCTGTTTTTTGTCAAGTTATTTTATGCTTCACCCGGTGGCTGAAGCACTGCGGCTGCTGTATATGCATGTTATGGACGAAGAAACTGTCAATAAGCTTGTGTGAAGACCTTTTGCTTGTAGCTATTGTTGTATTGTAAACTATTGTTTTTATTGAAACGTTTTTGTATCGTATTGACGAGTATGTTGCTTTGACGTACATAATCCAACAACAGCAGTAGGAAGAGTTTCAAGATGCGGTGATTGATCTCTGCTT